AGATTTTTAGCACAAAGCAGTTAAATGCTTGAAGGATTGGCGATTAAAAGACAAATGTCAAATAAATGCACAAGAAGTTAACATAGATGTTCATTAATGATGAACAAGGTTACAAAGGGAAAGTCAAATGCGAAATTACAAAAAGAAAAAAGTTAAGGCATTATATGTCTTAATTACAATTCGCCCCATACCGAACGAATTCTTTCCCTAAGTTTCTCCCAGTCCTCGTTCTGTGGAGAGGAAGTGATGTTCAATTCGGCCATGACATCATCATCAACTTCCAACTTCTTGTACTGCTCGACCAAAGACTTAGTTCGCTCAATTCCCTGGGAGGCGTTACGCTTTTTAGCAGCCATTCTCGCCTTGCAGTCGTCCATTTTGGCTTGAAGTTCCTTCATCTGAGCAGCCAAACTAGCCATCAAAGAGTTTTCAATCATGACTTCAGAAGAGATTTCTTTCAACTCGTCCTCAGGTTTGTTGATCTCCTGACGCAAAGACTCTTTTTCAGATACGACGCGAAGATATTGAGTACTTTTGGCCTTCAGTTCAACATTCTTGGCCAGCAAGGTGAGGACCTCGGAATGGATAACTTTCAACGTCGCTTTAAAATCAGCAGAAAGATTGAGCGACAGAAGTGTCAGTGCTTGCTCCAACTTCGCATTCAACTGCTCAAGCTTATCCTTATGTCTGGCAGCACTAGCCTTACCAATGTCCATATCCATGAAGGACACGTACTCAAATATCGACTGCTTGAGGAACTTCATATCTTCTTCTGAAAAAGTAGCAGGACGACCAGCTGGAGCAGGGTGAGATGTCTTGACTTGCCTCCAGGAAGCGAACAAGTCTTGGATAGAACGTACAATCCTATCAGCATCCTGTAAAGAAAATTGCCAATATTGAAGATTCTCACTACAACGAACAAGATGGAAATAAAAGTGAAGCAAAGATTACCTCATCAATAATCTTAGAAGATGGCATATCCTCAGCCAAGTCTGCCACCTGTGGCTCCACCATTCGTGAGAACTTTCCCTTGTCTGAGCGAGAAGATGTTGCCACAACGGGCAGACTCATAGGAGCATTTGCAGAATCCAAAAGCAACGAATCAGAAACCAATAGCACAAGCAAAGGTAAAACATCAAAAAATTGAATTACCTTCTGCTTCAATGTTTGGGGGGTTGACGCTCTGGGAAGAAGGTGACTCATCCATTGATTGTGATGAGGATTCTAGGACTAAAGATGTCTCTTTAAGCGTAATCCCTTCATCAGCCGGTTTGGATGAAGCAGCCTCAGCGGAGGATGATGGAGCAGGAGCTACCGATACCAAAGCTTTCAAAAGAGAGGCTGAACTTTTCTGAGAAGTCCAAATAAACCATCAACACATAGAAAAGTTTCAAGTATGGAAAAGTATGCTTGTAAGTAAACCAATTTTATTACCTTTCTCCTGATGATAAGAGGGGTATCATCATCATCATCAACATCATCCTCCAGAATGAGAGATGCTGAGGCTGGCCGTTTGCGGGTCGGGGCACTTTTGGCTGCAGTAGGCTTGACAGGGAGAAAAGAAGATGGACGAGCAGACTGCTTAGCGCGACGAGGAGGAGAAGGACTTCGGATGGACAAAGGGGTGACTAAAACAGGAGGAGGGGAAGAAATGCTCGGCTAGTCCAGTGAATGAAAGGCACGATTGACATCAGTCGCAAACAATCTGTGCTTCACTGACGGCCAGAGCTGTTCAAAAAGAGGATGGATGGCGTGGCTAGAATTGAAAGGGGCTAATGAAAAATGGCTCGTCAAAAGAAGATTGCGAGCATTTATAATCTCTGCCTCCGCCTTATTAATAATATGGAAACAGTCTATTAAGTTCCTTGAATAGCAAGGAGGAACAGACCAGGTTTGGCCGAAACCAAGTTGGCGAGCAAAAAATTGGGGAGCATATATTTCTACCCCTGCCTTGGCATTGGTCCCAATCAAAATATCATGAAATAACTCCCTCCCGATTAAAAACTGGATCCAAATGAGTAGAGAGGTGCTCGCGCTGTCTATAGTGGAGGGATGATGCACATAGTTTGGAGTCAAAAAGGGAGGAAAAGGAAAGAAGGAAGGGATTGAATCCAAAGAATAAAAGAATGAAAAAATGTCCCTTCTAGACATATTTACAGGAGCCAGGGGCTCAATGGCTAGCCTATAACAGCTAGCAGAAGGACGAGAGATTGATGGAGCACCAAGCAATGGAAAATAAGATCTCAACCACATTTGAGTAAACAAAGAGGTCCACTGCCAGTGGGAGATGCACCATTCTTCAATTGAGTTTGAAGAGAAGCCATGCCTCTATAGAGGGCAGTCAAAAAGAAAGAACATAAATTCAAAGGCATGCCACGCGCCAATTCGTGCGCTATGGGTAAATAACTCAGGGAGGGCTTTATGCTTGGCACACACAAAACATATTTACAAAGCCAAACCAGAAGAAAGGCCACTCGCTCAGCATGGGAAGGCTCAGCGCTCAAATGGTTATGAAGGGTTTGCAGGCTTGAATAAGACTCGGTGAGGTTTTTACCAAACTTTGGGGCGCCACTTGAAATCAAGATACCAGGAAAAATGATATCGCCCAAAGGTGGCAGATTCACTAGGGCTCCAACATCCCTTAAAGTAATAGACATGGGGCTAAGAGGAAAAACAAAGATATTATACTCAGAAGACCAAAAACTCAAAGTGATCGAAAAAAGTGCTGAATCAAAAGTAGGGGGATGAAGAGAGATTTCTAACAAATCAGAAATCCTAGCATTATCAAAAAGTACCTTAGTAGGACCGTGGTCCACAAGGCGAGCATGCCACCTACGAAAAACTATGTCAGATTTGGGCCAAGTGCGAATACCTCTTTCGCGAAGTGGCCCCAGCGATAGAGAGTTTAGAAATGGAGGGCCTTGAGTACAAGGAAACAGCTGGCCCACCGCCGCTTGTTTGACTGCCTCTGCATTGTTGAAGAAAGGACCTAGGTAGAACTCATCGAGTTCGACGTTGGCGGGTGCGAGAAAGTTCGGAGTTATATATGGACGATTAAGGAGTTTCTGAAAGTCATCAAAATTAAAGGAGTCGCCAGATTGAGATTGTGAGGTAGCCATTAGGGACGAAACGAAGTTTTTCAGAGTTACGTAGCAGGGAAGCAAAGAGATGAACAGTAAATTGTGGGAGAGAAACGCGAAAAAGTGAGGCGTGATTTAATTGTGCAGTGAAATGGCGTATTTGGGGGGTTATAAGGGTTTGCAAAACGTCGCACCTTTTCAAGCTATAGAAGAAAACAATGATTGAAATTCTTGGAAATTTCGAATGTTGCTGAAAACACAAAGTGAATATGGCAAAATTTAATAATCGGTATTAATTCTGCCATATTGGGGGGTAATTGTTGACACATAAAAATTCAGCCCAAATCGAACGGCCCAAAGAATGAAGCCCAATTGGAGGATCCCCAAATCAGATAGCCCAAAGAACGAAACCCAATCAGACAATTTAGGATAAAGGCCCAAATAGGGAGACCCATGAACACGGTAACACCATCGCCCAAGCTTGCAAGTCGCCCAGGATCTGAGCGAATGGAGTGCCATGCAGTCGCCCAGAGCTGCTGCTCTATTCTCTCCCAAACCTTCGAATCGCCCAAGGTCTTAACAAACATGAAGTGTTGTGGTTATCAAGAAGCGCAGTTATCAAAGCAGTTATTAAGCAGCCCTATCACGTTCCACAATTCAAGGAATTTAATTGAAGACGGTTGAACGACAAAGAGTAATGGCTGCAGTTAAAAAAGGCAGTTCCATGACAAGTCGGCCATTATGAAGAAAGTGGGCAGTTATAGAACGATCAAGCAGTTTTTAGGCGGTTGATCACAAAGAGATCATCCAATGAGTATAAAAGGAAGAAAAGACATAGAGTAAAGGACCCCGAATCAAAAACTCTCGAACAGAGAACATGTAATTTTAAATTTCTTAGCTTAAATTTAAACACTTCTTTCAGTAACTCGTGTGCTTGCGCCCCTTGGAGGCATTCTGTTTTTAATTTCCAATTGTAAAGTTATCGCAAATAAAGAACATCCCTTTTTGGGACTTTGTTTCTAGAGATTTGTCCCTTACACAATCGTCTGATCCCTTTTAATTGTTAGCGACGAATACGCGCGAAACAGGATTACAATACAATTTGTGTAATATAACTTCTCTGCTCGAATCAAATTCCTTGATTTGATCGTGGATTGCAAATAACCCTCCAAACTCAGATATCTTTATTTTTGGATGTCAAGAGGCAAGAACTACGATTTGAGGTTTACAAGTATATTCGAACTTAATGACACAGAACTTTTCTTCCATCATTTATCCCAATATTTTAGAGCTTCTCCTTATAATCCAAAGGACGAAGTCGAATTTTAATTTTAATTACACATTTCATAGTACGACTTATTCATCACTTATTTCTATCATATTATAATTTCAATTACTTATAATGAAACCTAACAAGAAATTTGCATTATTTGTTGTGAGATTTGCATCCATCCTTATTAGTGGGCCTTGAGGCTGGTAGCATTTGCATGGTCGAGAAAGCTTAGGGTTACTCAAGGCCTACAAAACCTATTAACCTCGACCTTTGGAGCCTCTTCTTACTTAAGGGTACAAGACATATAATTGGATCACGGTTTATATTGATTGATCTACATACTTCAATAGATAAGTATAAGAGAATGTAATATAGCATGATATTCGAGTATAAACTTGACCGAATTGACAACATGACCTGCAAAGATTGTGATAAAAAGAGAGAATAAATAACTATATAACATTCTAAAATAGACTATTAGAAAAATGTCCATTCCATTTGAATGCCGTAATTTTTAATTTTTTTTAAAAAAAATTTCCCTATGGAAACTCAATGTGAGCTACTCTCTGTCCCCTTGGTTTTCCTCTCTTCTCTTCACAGAATGTCGTAATTTTTTATTATTTATATATTTTTTTCTCCCTATGGAAACTCACTTTTAAATTTTAAGCGTCTCCCCGTCCCCTCGGTTTTCCTCTCTCCTCCTCACACACATTCTCTCTCCTATCTCATCAGAAGGGGAAAAAACCCTAAAAGGCCTGTTTACCCCCAGGAGTAAGTTCTCTCTCATAGACGTACAATATTTTATATGTGCTTCTCTTTCTCCTCTCTCTTTCTTCCAGTATTCTAGTATTTATATTCCCTTTAGTGTATTTATTTATTTATTTATTTTTTTGCATTGATTTATTTTGTGATTTAATGCTTCAGTTATGATGCCTGCGGATCTGTTTTATTTTCATCATTTTGGTTCAGATCTATATTAGAACTGGTGAAGATTGAATTTTTACATTGGAATCTTCATTTCTGAGTATTTTGAGATAAAAAGTATTTATTTTGATTATTTTCACTGGTTTTTCGTGATTGTTGTGGATCTGTTTGATTATCCTTTGATTTGTTGGATTATCATCTTGAACTTGCGTTAAATCACCCTCTTGTAAATTTTCTTATTGTTTTAAATCACATTGATGTTTCAGTTTGTGGATGTTTTGTCGGTGGTTATAATCTCAGGCTTGTCAGTTTTGAGGATTATTATCCGATTTGCTATGTGAATTATCTGAGTCGTTCTGGAGATTCGCTTGAAATTGTGGGTTCTTGGTTGCTTTACTCTAGTTGTTTGATCAGTTTTTCAGAATTTGGGTCTCTTGGTGCTTTGATCTACTTGAATTCTATTCTTTGGCTGATTGTTCATGCTCCATTGTTTCGTTGCTTTGGTAGCTTACTCATGCTGATTGAAATGCTTATATTTTTATCTGGAATTAGGTCGAAGATTTAATGAATGTTTTCTATGCTTGTTCTGTATTTTTTGTTTTTGTTTTTTTGGATCTACAGTTTTTTATGGACGACGACGCATTAAGCATGAGGAATTGGGGTTATTATGAGCCACCTCCGCTTAGAGGGCATCTTGGTCTTCAGCTGATGCCGTCTGTAACAGAGCGAGACACTAAATCCTTCCTCTCTGGATGCAGTAATCCTGTTATGGTTGCTGCCAATGGGGCCTTCCGTCCCCGGGATTGTGTGGTTACTGAACCACCAGTCACACAAATGGACTATGTCAGAGATAGTTGGATAAATCACAGAGATAAATTCTTGCATATGTTTCCTGGGAACCCTTACAATCCGGTTCTTGCAGAACCATCTGGAAGTCATAGTTCTATGCAGATTTTAAACCAACCTGATACAACTGATGATACCAAGGTGACGGTTGAAGAGCCAAGTATTGAAACTGAAGTTGTCCCTGCCAAAAAGAGGTCAGCTGCTGCAGTTTTAAAGCCTTCAAAATCAAAGAAGTCCAGAAAAGTTGTATCTGTGCCAAAGGAAAATGGTAATTCCTCTGTTAACCGTGCAAAAACAATAAAGAAGAATATAGATTTTGTAATAAATGGAATTGATATGGATATATCTGGTATTCCAATTCCTGTGTGCTCTTGTACTGGTGCTCCACAACAGTGTTATCGATGGGGGTGTGGTGGTTGGCAGTCAGCTTGTTGCACCACAACTATATCTATGTATCCATTGCCAATGAGTAACAAAAGACGTGGAGCAAGAATTGCTGGACGAAAAATGAGCCAGGGTGCTTTCAAGAAGGTTTTGGAGAAACTTGCTTCAGAAGATTATAATTTCACTAACCCAATTGATCTGAAGACTTACTGGGCTAAACATGGCACCAACAAGTTTGTGACAATAAGATAGAGTTATGACATTGGTACCTTAACTTGATTTTCACCTAGTCTGATCTGATTCTCATGTACATATTCTGCAGTCATCGGCAGAGGATCTCTCTGCATTCAGCGATACATCTTTTAAACTAGATTTTTGTGGTTCTCGAGAACCGTCGTTCAATTCTTCAGTTTGCGTCAGAGGCTAGCAATTTTTTTCTGGCCGTAAAGATTTGGATTATGAATGATTTATTTCATTTGATTTAATGTATGAATTTTGGGATATTTCTTTTCATCCATTTTCATTTATCGTATTGGAGACGGAGGTCACTTAATGATGATGGTTGTGGCTCTTTATGATGGTTATTGTTTCTCCATTTTGCATTTTTATGGGTTTTTTTTTCCATGTGTGTGTATGTGTGTGTGTGTGTGTGTGTGTTGATGTTATAAATATTTATCATTTACTCTCAGATTAGTATACATTTCGTTGGAGTTCACACTAGTGCATCTGCATCAATGCTTTATGAATTCTGTTTGCTATTCTAATTTAAATATTTCTTGCAGAGATTGTTACACTTGCATATTGTTATATTCATTTTCTGTCTCATATTTTTTCATAATGATAAAAGTTTCCTCATCAATTTAATGATTGTACAATAATCTTGTGTACTCCAACGTGATATTTACTTAAATATTTTGTGCATGTCTTTCAATCCTTGAATGAACTTCAGGTTTCTTGATGTCAAACCAGAATCAAATAGGGAATAGAGTGTTTTTTGGACATGAGTACAGCACGTGTAATGTTATTTTCCATTATGTAGTCGCCCTTTTTGACAGTTTAAGCTTTTAGATGAAATTGTAACATAGTATTAGAAGATTTAGGCTAAAACTTTGTGCACGTGTTTAACTTTTGATTAGTATGTGAGTGTGGTGTTGAAGATCGATTAAATGAGTTAACGTAGTTCTCTAGAGCTTAAACTTTTGGATTAGATGAGAGAGTTAACAATTATAAGCCTGAAAGTAGTTGAGTTACGTGAAATAGTTGATGAAGATCCACTGCTCAAGTGTGTCTATATTGAGCTGCAGTTTCCAGGAACATATAGAAAATGTGATTAAGGTCCCGTAAAACTTTTGTCCTCCTTTCCCATACTTGTGTCTCCGAGTAGATTTTCCAGCTGCCTTGCCCATTCTTGTTTTTCTCTATTGAGAATGATTTGCCAGTATCCCATTGTTGGGCTCTGAAACGTAGGCCAACCTTCAAACAATGTAAAGACAAGCATACTCTTTCGTATTGTGGTTGCTGGTCCTGCCCGCACGTGGTAACAAAGACCGACTCTGTAAAAGAATCAACCACTACTTGATGAAATCAAAGGTGGTGGTCAGGCTGATCTGTGTTTTTATGGGTAAGTTATAAATAGCATTCTTGAATTTGTGAATGAAGTTATGCCAAGTCATTTTACTTCTAATATTGTTTGTAATTCAAGAGTAATATTAGGCTTTTTGTGAAGTGACTATCTAATTGGAGAAGAGTTGAATAAGACTAATCATGGACCATTAAAGCTTGGATTACTAAGGATACTAGAGTTCCATAAATAACTCCAATTGATTATTGCCAAATCCTAATTGGAGACAGAGTTGAATTGTGATTATCATGGACCATTAAAGCTTGGATTACAAGGTGTCTATTGAGTTCCATAAATAACTCCAACTGAGTAAGGCCAGTAAATTTTACTAAATTTATCTTGCCTTCCTCCACACAATACAATGCACTCTCGTCAGCCTCGGTGGCACCTTGTGAGATAGAAGTAGGCCACTTCACTCACCTTAGAGTGAGTGAGGTGATTACAGAAAAGTAGGGTAGTCCGCACTACCTATCTGTAATCAGTTTAGCTGAGAGTTGTTTGCTGACACACGCTTGAGTCATCTCGACTGAATGAAACTATCTAATCTTACTCTCAGGAAGTTGATTCTCCGATCAGATGATATAATAGTCGTCGAATAGCCTTTTCGTGCGGTATGTCTTCTTTGATCTGACGCATGATTGTACAAGTTAGCTTTGGGCGGAGATTGACAATTGACTTAGCATGCTTTGGTAGCTCGTGATGAAATACTTTCCGACGAATTCACTCTATTATTGCGTCCATGAAGAGGTTTTCCATTAATTCTATTTACTTTTTTAGGTCTACAAATAGAATTAAACTGGACAAGTACTAAAAGGATTATGAATCACTAAGAAGAGACTGTATGTACAACATAATAAAGGACTGTTGAACTTTAGACTGCAAACTTTTCAATGAATATGTCAATCGGGTTCCAATTAGGTAGCAAAGAATTATTGGTTGGAATTTCCAATTCAATGTAACATGCGAGGCACTGGCAATCCGATTTCATAAACTAAAAATTCAACTACCAGAATTATAATTTATTTTCTTAGTAAGATGTCGTTCAGCGTAACAAAGATCATTGTAATAATCAAAGCTTATGAGAAATATTTAAAAGTCAAGAGCCGGTTAACAATAAACAATGAACAATTGAACATTCTAAAATGAGCTTCAATTCTGGCAACGATCAATCATAAAACAAGACTCTCCTTTTTTCTCAGATTTCTCTTTTATTTTCATTTGTTAATTACAACTCCATTTTGTACGTCAGTTGCATTCCCTTTATTTTTATGTGCACTTCGATGACAAATCATTTGATGCCAAATTACTTGGTGATTTTTAGGATATGGCCGACCAGTCATTCGACTGCTAGGCATCTGGTCAATCAGCATTTTGAGAAGAATAATGTTATTTATCTTTAATGGAGTTCATCTTCATGTCTATGTCGCAGTATGATCATTGTCACATTGTTCAATGAATCCCTTGATCTCGGATCGGAGATGCTAACAGGGCGGGAATCTAATGCGGGGAAATTAAAATGCATTTCATCTTCATTTAATAATGTGGCAGTAATGTTACTGTCATATAAACTGGAAATGAACTTTTCAAGAATCGATGAGTTGTCAATGGACGTCTGTGTACTGAAAATTTTATCTTAAGTTATACGATGGCAAATAAATTATTAAGTTTATGCTTAGCCAATACAGAAGAAGATGACATCACATTACATGAGGAAAAATGAATACAATGCAATGCAGATTTTTAAAGTAGTGTAAAATGCAGATAGCGTCTAATCTGATACTATAAATTCTACAAATCATCTCTTTTTTATTTTGCAAAATATAATACTTGATCCTCAGAAATTGTCAATGATTAGAATTAAAACAATAACAAAATTTCTCACGTGAAAATTGAAGCATTTCCTTGTGATCATCTTCTCAGTTATTTGCATTTTCTTTGGTTTCTTTTTTATTTTTATTTTTGATACAATTGAGAAGGCTCTTCAAATGGGATGCAAATCCAATTTAAAGACTACTAGAAATTGATCAAATCGGGCTGCTGTTCTTGATTATTTATATTCGAATGAAGCACAGGTGTAATCAAAGAAGCGGAAAATGGATTTTCTTGGCTGACTATCATAAGATCTTCTTCGAATTTCTCCCATTTATCGGTGATTATAGTTGTTTTCTTCAAATCTTTTCCTTCATTGGCATTTTCAGAATCTGGCAAAATAATTGCTGTATCCTCTCCCAATTCATTCACATTACAGGATTTCTCCGACTCTGATAATCCATTGATTATTTCCTTAAGCTCTTCAACTCCCTCTTCTGGGACTTTCTCAACCATGGGAAATTCCATTGCATTGACTACCCCGATCTGTTGGCAAAATTTGATATGTAAGGAAAGATGGTCGCTTTGGGCTTTCGCTTTCTGCACAAGTTCGAGCGCCATTGTTGCCTCAGCCTTTTTAGCAGGATAAACATTAACAAGAATGATGGCAATTCCTCTGCATATTTTGCTGTAAATATCAAAAATCTCTATGATAATTCCATCCATGGCATCCTGCACAAGAGGGACTCTAGTTGCATTCGACTTTGGTTTAATCTGCAGCAACAAATCAAGCAAACCTTGCAGCTTTTTCAGCAACTGAAGCTCTTTAATTATCGAAACAATTTTCTGTCCTTTGCGTTCCTCAAAATTCTGATAAATTATGATCGATTTCTGATCAAGGAACGCATAGTATTCGCGAATAAATGCGTTATGTGCCCAAGTTTTCCCTGGATCAGAATGCCCATCTGTGAAATCTGACAGATCAAATGGCAACCTTCCAACTTTCTGGACGGCCTGTACATTACAGTTAATGACGCCATGCATAAGAATCAATCCTTTTAGAGCCACCACCCAACTTCTCGTTTTCTCCATTCGATTCGATATTGACCAAACAAGAGGCTTGACATGGCAAGTCGAGAGGCGAATCCATTTGAAAACTCTATCGGTATTCTTAACATCGATCGAGGACTCATAGTGGTTGGTGGCTTTTATGACGGCTGATTCAATGTCGGGATTCCGAAGTGCCGTCCGCCTAGACAGACTGGAAATCCAGATGCTATTTTGATCCTTCAACGCTGCGGAAGCCCTTCTCCATAGCCTCATTTCCTGTTGCCAATGTCCTTGCCTTCGTGTCTCCTTTCTTGTATTTTTTTTTATCTAAACTTGCTTGTACTTTTTAATTTTCTACACGTTTTAGCTTGTTTCTAGGACATGGCCAGCGGTTTCCATTGGGGTGTTTAATATAGTTGGGTAACAGATTTCCCCAAAGCATGACCCATTATAGGCGGCTGTAATAAAAATAGGTGCCAATTTGAGGCAAGTATATGAGTTGGTTACTACATTTGACCTTGTCTTTTGGCAATGAGGGAAACTAACTGATCCTAAATGATGATATTTTGTTATTCTTTAAACGGATTAGTAGCTAATTTGTTATTTATTGCTTTTATTAGGAAAAGTTCACGTTTCAAAGAAGAATTGGAAAAAAGAACGGAAAACGGCTAAAATGAAACAAATCTAAAGTATGGGGCCCAAAGTATAAATATCGAATGTTGATTTGGACCACAAAAGATACTTTGAAAATTGATAGAAGTCAATTGAATACAAATTGGAGTAAAAAAGGAAAGGGATATGATTAGAGTATTACCATAAATCGACTTCCAATCTTATAAGATATCTTCAAGATTTTTGTTCAACTTAAGACTCATTTTTCGGATGGAGAACGTTTGAATTAGAAAAATTGTATTTCTAGAAGAATTGTAGCTCTTTTAACTACCTTTCCAATGCACTTTAAATCACCTAAATCAGACATTGAGAGAGAAAGTTATGACCAAAATATTGAAAGCTATGCAGAGACAAAATTATGTGCGCGCGAAGACAACTTTCCTTATTTGATTCAAACTCTTTTGAAAGGCAATTTGGACGTGAATTTTGACCTAATTTCATCATATAAATACAAGATATGGGCAGCAATGAAAGAGTCTCTCTCTTGCCTCTTCATACACAATAGTTTCATCAAATTTACTAAGAACAATGAACCAATTACTATATTTTGAGATAGAAGATCAAGTTATAATAAGGAATTGAAATTCAATTACATCAAGATTTTGAAGAATTCAACTTTGGACTTGAAGATCAACATCTTTTGTACTCTTTCATGATCCAGGTGATATTTTTCTAGTATTTTTCTTGTAATTTATATATTAATATGTTAGACTATTTTCTCATTGTATTGAATGAATGATGGACCCTATTATTTGTTTATTTTTAATTCAAGACAATTAATTTAGTACTTCATTATTTTTTCTTGATTGATTTTGCATTCCCATTGAAATATTTAATTACTTGATCACCAAATAGATAGTAAGTTATTTGTTGTGGTGTAGGAATACTCACAATAAGTTTAAAACGCAATAAAATCAACACATGAATAATATGTATTTGCAATCATGTGTGATAAATCCTGTGAATCAATACATATTTTTCATATGAATTCGGACTAGGAATATAATTGAGTGGTGTTAAACATATGTTTAATATATCTTGGAAAAGAATATTGAATAAAAGTAGATTATTGATTGTCCTGAATGCATGAATTTACTAAATTATAAATTAAGAGTTGAATTAAAAAGCAATAGGGGGATTCACGATTTCAATACAAATATTCACATATTAAATAAATATTTTATTTGCTTTCTTAATTTAAGATTAGCATAGAAAACATACAAATCACAACTTTTTTATTTTATTTTATATTAGTTCGAATTTAGTAACAGCTACTTAACTAAATATTAGACATTATTCCTTGTAGGAACAATGCTCTTAACTCACAAATCTTATTACTTGTACAACGATCCCATACGCTTGCGGGTTTCATACGAACGCTAACCTTGAGTTTTTTTTGTTTATTTTGGAGAGTTAAAAAGCTGATTTTTATATAAAAAAGGGGGGGGGGGGGGGGGGGGAGAAGAAGG